CTGTACAAAAATGCAGAATAATTGTATGCTACGTTGAAATATGGAGCATCATCTTAACTATGAAAATGTTTTTTTACAGTGCTTTTCTCAAAAATTCTGTTTTGCAATTAAAAGGCCAGATACTAGACTTATACAGTAACTAGTTTTATAAGTTCACATTTCATCAGTTTATTTAGGGGTTTATTAAATAATTTCTTTTTGTGTGCTTTGGGAAAAAGAAATAGAAAGATTGCAGGGACTTGGGTGTTCTTAATGCACCTTTGATAAAAGCAAAATTTAGTCAGCTTGCCATCTGGGTCCTTTTGTTTATTCATCAGCTGAAGTAAAAATCCCTGTGAGTATCAGCACTTAGTTTACTATATAAAACAATGTGAAATGCACTCTGGACAGGCAGAACTGACTGATTTCATGTACCCTCATGTACTGGCTGATAATGGTTCTGGAGAAACAACTTGTCTTTTTACCATGTATAATAATAAGGCATCATGAAGCAGTCATCTTAAGGATAAAAATATACTTTTTCTTTTGAAATGGCTTTTTTTCCCTACAAAAATTGATGCCATAAAAGGTGTGAATGCTTCATAGCTGTAACAAAAGTGGTTATTTTATCCTGCATATTTAGCACCGGTCACTTTCAAACTGTGCAATACTAAGAGAAAACTATGTAGAAAATGAAAATAGAGATAAAATAATAAAAATACTCAAAAGAGCAAATACAATAATGTGGATATTATCATTTTACATCTGTACACACAGAAGTGTTTTAAGAGCACATTGCTGTGGTGGCTGCAAAACAGTAAATTTAAAGGATCCATATTTATTCTAGTAGCTTCCAAAGTTGTGTCAGGTATTTCAGAGAATGAAAAAGCATGTAGGGTCCTTCCTAGGGCATTCAGCTGTGGAAAATGGAATAAGCAGAGTAGAACAGTAGGGGATTTGCCAGCTCCAGACCACGGAGACTGTCAGTGTCCGGAATGATTTGTTATAGAGGGGAGGAGAGGGTGAAACTGGAAAGGGAATTAAGGGTGGGGAATGTGAAGGACATTTATAATTTTTTATAGTAGAAAGGGAATCTAGAGGCTTTCAGATTAAGTCTTTCCAGTGAATTAGAAACTTTGTTAGAAGCCTTTTCTTTAACCTATTGATGAAAGAGGAAATGACCTTCTGGCAAAGGCAAGCCTGTATTTGAACAGCACCATTGTTGGGGTGTGTTCTACACCTGGTACAGTGAGAGAAGCTCCTGGTGACCCTGTAAGCAGCAGGTGCCCAGATGTGAGCTGAACATTATTAATGAAACTGTGGAGAGGGCAGAATATGCATGAAAACAAGAGAGGGAAGCTGAGAGCAGTGGCATAGTGCAAAGAGCTGGTGAAACATGACATTTGAGCTACATGTGCTCACTCCTGGAAAAATGGAATGTGTTTGGAGCAACCAGCAAGAAAAAAGACCTTGGCAATGCCATTTTGGTTAGAAGGAAATAAGCTGGATATTTCCAGGGGATTGTCCCCTTCCCTTGAGATCCTAAGGAAACTTCTTCTCTGGCAATGGATTAGTTTACTAGTTTATTGGACTAGGAAGCTGCTGCAGTATGTATCGTGTCTTTTACCCAACCACCCATCTTTATTACACTCTTATAGTTATTTCTAGAGATAAATAATGCTTTAACAGCCCTGCCCTGTTCAGCATCAGTGCAGTGTCCTCATGACATCCCACCAAAATACCTGAACAAAATCCTTGCCACTCATTACTTATCAGTGTCTTCTGGGGTTTTTGGTTCTATGTCAGAAAATTACTTTTAAATGCCAGCCTTCTGCTTTTCTGAGTCATTCTGCCACTTGGGAGTGATTCTGCAAGAAATAGCAGATATGTACAGTAGTGAGATAATTGAAGACCAGATTCAAGTATGACATTTTAAATGGTAATTCTGCTGGTGAAGAAAGAAATGCTGCTGGTATTGAAAAGACAAAATGTCAACACAATTAAAAACAAAAACTAAACCACATAATTAAGCAAGGAAAACATTCAGAAACAAAGTATGTTGCTGATAATTTTCTTCTTAGGATAAGAACACTTCAGAAGGGAAGAGTGGGATGTGAGGGTTTGCAGTCTACTCATATGAAAATGTTTTATTGACTCATATGAGTAGGTTGTCATCAAAACTGTATCTGTGCTTCAGAAAAGGATGGGTGACAATCACAGATTTAGAAAGTAAAAACCTTCTCCCACTGTGGACTTCCAGAAGTGGCAGAATTTTCTCGAGATTTCATCTGGTCAGTCAGCAAGAGCATTCCAGCACAACTCTGGAAACCAGGGACACTGGTTGTGGAAACCTGCTCAGATCTTGGAAGTCTTTTGCTTAGAAAGAAGTCCTGTCAAGTACATGCATTTTCATTTCAAACAGAGGATTTGTTAGAAGGAAAAGAATAGTGTAAGAGTGTCTAAATTATCTTAGCCACATGAAATAATCTGGCTTGGAAAAACACGAGACCTTATTTATAATAATGCCCCTTTTCTCTAAGCTGATACTGAAAACAATCTTGAAGTATCTATAAAAACTTACTGATTCTTTTATTCTTTATTCTCATTTTGTCTTCTGTTGCCTTTTGTGTGACCTTCCAGTCTAGAGACCTTGGTAACTAGGGCCCTCAAGGGTGAATGTTGGGTTTCAGGAATGTTTTGCCAGTTGCTTTATGGTGATCCTTCACCATACTTTGTCAGCTTATACTTTCTTAAGTGCAATTATTGCATACAAAATCACAAGTTTTAAATTGTTCTGACTAAAGACAGAGACAATTAATTCTATGTATAGCATCTGCAAACTGAGTTAAAGCTGAGTGGTCAGACATTTCAAAACACACTGCCCTAAGAATCACATTGCTGTAAGAATTTTAAGATGATGAGAGAAATACAAGTATTTTATAAGACAATGTGAAGTTTAATAATCTATTTAATAAAACTCACAATAAAACAACACACCTTTTTGCTTCAATTAAACAAATGTATAGTAAATTATTAAAAAACCGCAAATACAATACATGTCTACTGTACTTCAACATCTAATTACATCAACGGTAAACTCCAATTTAATTAAACCCATTTGAGCATTAGTATGTGCAAAATACCTTCTGTTTGTGGGTTTTGCCAGTAAGTTTGTAAGGATCGGATGCACATTTTTCATGAACTGTGATATGGCTTAATTAATGATAGTGTTTGTATTGCAGCATTACCTTCCTGAGCATGGTGCTGCTTTTGAGCTGCACACACTCCCATGGTGTACACGAGTGCTCCCATTTCTTGCCCAAACAGATACAAACACAATCCAGTGTCATGTGCACTTTGTCCAAATTCACAATGTGCTGTCAGCTTTCATCAATAAAAATTCATCATCTGATCCCTTACCTCCAAAAAGGGAAGAAAAGAAGCCAAAATTGTTACCACCAAATGCAGATACAAATCAGCCTAATGAAAATGTGAAACCCTAGCGAGTTTCAAAACAGACAATAGCTGAAGTATTCACAGCTGAATATCACAATAACCGTAACTGGGCAAAAGTTTTCCACAGAGAACTACTTTTCATGTCAGTGGAAGTTCTGCATAAGATGAAAGTACAGAATTAAAATGTATTTGAAGCCATCTTCTGATCTTCTGAACTTTGTGGGTCATACTCTTGCTGCCCTTTGCTTCTTCAACGCCAATGACTTCAGAAACAGGTTAAATCTGGGCTTGTAGGTATATGATAGTTTAGTGTAAAGATTTACTATCTTGTGTACATTCAAAATACACAGGTTCCACAATGAGGCCAAACAGTTCTACTTTGTGGACTCTGAGCTGTCCAGATGAATATACAGTCTTTTCAGGGTGCCTTCTCTCTGTAAATACAAAAGCCTTTCTGCCACTGTAGGTTGTTATGATATTGTTGTCCAACACCATTAGTTTACTGAGCTTGCTTGGATTTTGCTTTATTCGTAAGCTAAGTAGTGGGAACTGCTGTCGCAGTGGCATTCCCGTCAGGATGCTGCCATGCTGTGCTCAAAGCAAAGATGAAAAGATCAGAGATTGTGATGGATGGAATTGTGCATCTCTAAAACTTCTGCTCCCCACTTTCCTGTTAGATGCACGTATCTGAAGATTGCATTTGAGAGTATTTCCATGTCAAATATCACTTCTATCATTTGACTTTTCTTTTAAAACAAAACAATCATGGAAAAATTATCAATTACAGGACATTTATTAATTACAATTAGAATGCATGCTAATCAACTGGCCATTTAACGTGAATCAAATGATAGTTTAGACATTCAAGATTATTAATAATAAATTCTTCTTACAAGTCAAAACTGTGTAAAATAAATAACCTGTTTCTAATGTATAAACCCTATTCTAAAATACATTAAAGGTAACTGATCACCTAAAACACTTTGGGTCCAGTGTTGGGTCTCTAGTTAAATACCAGAAGTCTGGGCAAGGATCTTCCTGTCTGGATCTCTGAATGCCCAGATTAAAGCTAACTTTCTGGTCTGGGTACAGTAAATTCTGTATTTTGCAGTGTCTCTGAAGAGACAGCTTCCACAAGAATTCAACTTAATGTATGTGTTAACAGTTTGAGATACTGTATGAAAACTACTATTGCAAAAATACTGAATAATGAATTTGGGGATCATGATACATTGTGCAACCCTGGTATGATCAGCTTTAGAGACTTTTGACTGAAATACTGAAAACCCGATGCTCCGTTTGGAGTGCAGGTACTTTGTGATACATAATGATTAAAGGACAATATTGGACTGTAATTTGTGAGGTATCTGCAGAGCCGTGTTCCAGTTTGTAAACAATAATCCAAAACCAGCTTTGTCTCAAAATCATAACAAATTGAATAAACCAGTACAACGGAGAGAGTGAAATACATGTTCTGTAGGGCAACCGCTGCACTTTTTGCAGCACCAGTTCTCCCTGCTGCATGTCCCATGGTACAAATCCACATATTAATGGTTACTATTGGATAATTTTCATTTTGCATTTATTGCTCTCAGTCTTTGACTACACAAGGTAAAGAATAAGGCAGCAGTTCCCAAAACGTATGAAATTAGGCACTGGAACTCTGACAACTCGCGCAGGTTTTGCTCATTTCCTGTTTGTAACTCTGAAGCTGGACAGAGCACTTGTACATTCCAAACGTGTTCAGCAACAGCTGTCGGGCCTTGGTCTGAACGTCCTCCCATTTAGATGAACTACCAGGAACTGCAAAATTAAGAAAATAATTAATAAATTCACTCCTTAAGAAACCTGGGCAATGCAAATGTTCTCAAATTTATCAGTTTTACTGATGAGAATAATTTTTGCTCACACTCATTTATTAATTTAATATTGTTCTTGTGGTCACTGTGTACTCTATCATTTTACACCTCTCTTGATAGAACTCCATGTGTGTCTGACACTTTCCCCCAGAAACCTGAGCTTTCTTACTAAGAACTGATATTCGTAGTAGAGTTAGATGTCTGAGTCAGCATGTGTTTTGGCAAAACGTTTATTTTTCATATGTTAGATTGTTCCACATTAGAACTTCACCCTTTCTTTCCCTAAACATGTAAGAAAATTTCTGAGGAGAAATTTTGTGGGGCTTTTTTTCCCTCTACCCAAAGAATCTGCACTGGGCATTTTTGTATGAATGCATTTTATTTGCACGATTTTCATTTAGACCACGTCTTTCTTGACCAAGATGTTCTATTCCTTGCTGTACAAAACCAGAGTTAGTAAATTTTCTTTTCCCACAAAGATATTTCTTGGTTCAACTTAAGTAACAATCTGAAGAGGAAGTGGTGGGGTTTTTCCTAAACTTGGATTTAATTTAGAATTGTGCTATCCAGCAGCTCACCTAGTTGCAAGTGGACTATGGCAGTTGTTTTTCCTGCAGTGAGAGACCAAACATTTAAATCTTCTATAGAATAAACATCTTCAATTTTCATCAAATCTTCCTTGATGCGATCCACATTTAAGTGCCTTGGAACTCCTGTGATACCAAACATGAGATAAAATTAATTTTGTCTTCTGCACAGTCTCAGTAGCCTTTAAAATGTCATGATAGATCTCAATGTCAAAAAAATTGGAATTTGTGCTGTTGGAAGTGATTAGTAACTTCCGTGTTATCAACAGAAAATAACATGGAAATGGGCCTGTTAAGTCCAGTGTGGATACAGAGGTTGTACAGGAATTGCAAAGCTGTCTCAACTGGAATCTGTCCTGTCCAGAATCCACACTCTGGCAACAGCCAACTTTAGATCCTTTGTAATGATGTACTTTTGTTGACAACTTTACTGCAGCTTCTAACCACTAGTAACTGCTTAGGCCAGACTCATTTTTTAAAAAAAATGCTAGGGCCTGTCTCCTGAAACTGTTCTTTGGGTACCTCGGATCACATTCACAGGCTACAGTAATCCATGTGCCATGGCCAACACAGAGGACTGTGTTTTACAGCGTGTATCTCTGCAAATCAGAGATCAAGTCCTTTTGGTATTTTCAGCAGCACATCTCTAATTTACCACCACCATCCTTTATCTGTACAAAGGGCAAAACCAAAATTTTAGAGCAGTTTTGATTCTACAGTAGCTTTTATTGCTTATCTTCTAGTTTTATGGAGTTTCTTTATGTACACTATGAGGAGTTCAGCCACTTGCTTCTCAAATTTTTTCAGACTTTTTACATGACTTCTCTGAACCTGGTGCCTTACTGTCTCTTAAATGACATTAATTCCAGTACTCTCTCTTTTGAAAGTTCAGTGAACAGGACTGTCTCACATGAAACAGAATCTTCCTTCTAGTACAGACCATCAAAAATTATTTAGCTGATAAATAACTAGCTGTCTTGTATTTATACATCATTCTTTTTCCCAGAAAAAATGGACTCAAGTTCTACTTGAGTATCTACATCATACTTCCATTATGACAGACTTCTATTCTGCCTTATAAATCAATATTAAAAGCTAGAATCTCATTGCTTGTGTTGGATAGCTATTTAATTTTTTAATTTAGCACTCTGACTATAATGAGGAAACTGAAGTTAACACCAAAAGCTGATACAACTTCAAGGACCTAGATGTTGCAGCAGCAGTTTCCAGTATAAACACAAGTCCATTCGTTGAGATCCTGAATTTGAGTTGGAAAAGTTCCCTAGCATGCACAAAGCTCACATATCATCACTTTTAAAGACATCATTAACTTGGAGATTTTTATGACAGCTGGGATACCTATGCAAACAGCTACAACTCAAAACATCTGGAATCTGATACTTCATTAGTTTATCTTATCTGTTTTCTTCAGCTAAATCTATTGCCTTAGAGCTAACTGAGGGTTCTTCAGCAAATTTCATCATTTTTGAATTCTCAGTGAACTTCTACTTTGTTGGGTTTTTTTTTTTTTTAATCTTAAGTGACAGCAAAATCACTTGACTGAAGATTCTGAAGTTTCTGATTTAACCTCATAACATAATAGAAGTCAATGATAATTCACATATGACAGTTAGGAATGCACAGTTAAAATTTGGATTTTTCTCCCAGCCCTAACATCTTCACTTTATAAAGTAACAGTACTAGATCCAGCAGTAGTAGTTGGCATGTAAGCTGTGATAAAGCAAAGGATGTTGCTGACATGTTTCCCTATATGTCACACAAGATAAGATCCTTCAACCCATGTTCAGCTTTTTCTTCCCTCCTTTTTTCTGCATTTTACACCACTCTTAATTTTCAGCTTCCCCTTGGCAACAGCAGATACACACAAGTTATACGAAGGCACTTGTGGGACAGGGGAAGACAGGACAGGCATGAACCACGTGTCCAGCTGTTTCCTATGCTTGGTGCCTCCTTCTACCTGCATTCACATTCACTTTAACTGTACAAGTAAGAGAAGTGAGGGTGTAGAACTGAGTATGGGCAAATGTTCACTTGATTTAGCTGAGAGTCACTGCAGACACACAAGAAAGTTCTGTACATTTCACTTCTGCATCTCCTGATGGTAAAGAGTATGCAGACATAGGACTTGGGTTGTTCTGGCCGAAGTCAAAGACACCTAAAAACTGCTGCAATTTAGAGGAGCCATAAAGAACCTGCAGACTAAAGCAGCACCAAGACAGACAGGTCTCCAGGTACAATCCACATAGACACGGGGATCATGATGTCAAGAAAACTGGAATTTTCCATGTAAAGTACTGCAGATTGGGCACAGATCTTACCTTCCAGAATAATAACTCCCGTGTCACACAGAATTCGAATTGTTGTAAAAATCACCAGTATGGAAAATACATATGTACATATAGGATCAGCAATCTTGTATTCTGGCTGCAAAGGGAAATTTCACAATGTCAAAGGATGTATGAAAACAAGATCACTTACAAAAATTTGACTCAGAAAATATGGTTACTTCTAGTTCCATGTTTCATGATTTTTTTTAATTTGAAAAATTACAATATATGTAGTAGAGAGTTTTGCTTATTTTGTATGATGTATGAAGCTTATCACAACATATCATTAAAAAGGTATTTTTAGTAATTTATAAAAACAGGTCCCTTTTAACTTTAATCACCAGAGAAATGCCAAGAATTCTGCATGCCTCCAGGAGAGGCCCTTCCTTACCTTAAAGCGGATGATGTAGGCAGCTACAAGCACCCCAATGCTCTGTACCAGGTCCCCCAGGGCATGGACAAAGGCTGCTCTCACAGCCAGGCTGCTGTGTCCATGGCTGCTGCCCTGGGCTGTGTTCGGAGAGCTCGGCCGAGGTACGTGAGAGTGAGGCTGGGAATGGGAGTGGGAGTGAAGGTGGCCAGATTGATTCAGCAAAAACCCCATTCTGAAAGTGAAAGAAGAGAAATGCTTCAAGAAACAGGCTTTAGGGTTTTTTGGATGGAGAGGATTTGTTGGGTTTTTTTCATTTTAAACCAAAGAATTGAAAAAGTAATATTCAGTGTAAGTTCTTGTCTTATTTATGAAAATTAAGAGGTCCAGCAAAATTACATCCCATGACAAAGTTACAGGCCATGAATGAATTAGCAGCTTATTGAAAAATACACTTATGACTGTTAATGGAGAGAGAGATCTTACATTAAGTTAACGGCAACACCGACGGCTGCTGTGATGAGCATAATATCACCATTTATTTCATAGTCCATATGGATAGTTCTCTGAACAGCCTCATACAAGAGGAATGCCATAAGGATATAGACCAGCAGTACACTAATGATGGCTGACAGTACTTCTGCAAACAGAAAGGAAAAAAACATTATAAAAATGTGTCTCAGGTCCATTTCTATTTCCAAATTAGAATGTGGACAGGGCCTTGTTTTAACTACTTTATCCATATCATACCTAATATAAACAAACAAATTGTTTGTCAAATAAAACTTGTAAAACAGGGTTAACCAGCAGAGTTTGTTCTAATCCACTCCTTCACATGTCACCGTGATCAGCATACACCTCAAATTATGTTTTCTCTGAAAACTTCTGCACAGGTGATGATCCTGATTTTTTCAAATAACCCAGAACATTTGCCTGAGAAGTCACAGGCAAAGGCCCTGTCCAGGGGTGAGGAGGACAGGTGATCTCAAACCTTACCAGCCTACCCATGAATAAGGGAAACCTTGATTTTAACTGTCTGGAGTATTAAGCTGGGTTTAGAAATTATTTCTATATAGCATTTTGTATTTAGGATGGAGAAGAAATTATAAAATAACAAATAAAACAATACAAACTTGTCATACATGATTCTCTTAAGCTCCTTGACATATGTGTTCATAAATGTTATCTGAGGCAGATTTCAGCTGCAACGGCTTGCTTAATGTAAGTTTCTTTATTGCTGTGATAAGCTGTTCTAACATTATCTAATATTTACCAAATATTATTTCATAAAAGAGCATTATGACCATTATTTTGGCATAGGAATTTTACCTGATCAGCAGGGACTTTCAAAAGGAAACATATATCTAAATAAAGATAAAAAATAGGAAACTAATAAAAATATTTCACTGTCCTGTACTTTCTGCTGCTATTTACATCTGTGGAAAGTGGTTAAAATTCTCAAGATTAAAGGTTCCTGATGTTCAGATGGGAAGTAAACAGGGCTAAGTATTTTAGGTTGGAACCTTTGTGCTGCCTCAGTACTCAGGCCATGAAATTGTCCTGGTAATAGCACACAAACCTGAGAAGGACGAGTCCACACTAAATTTTAAGGTCCTACTATAAAGAAAATAGATATTTCCAAATGGTCCACTAGATTGCTTTCATCATAAATGTACTTTTATCCTCTAGCTTCAAATTCTGAAATCTATTGCCCTGCAGCAGCTGAAACTTAAAAAACAAAAAAAGCAACACAGCTGGCAGAGAAAACATTAGCCCAGTTAAAGATAGTCTCAGTAATAAACAAGTTAATATAGGGCTTTACAAAAAGCCCTGGGAAAACCTTAATGCTCGCTCCATTGTATTGCATGTAAATCTGCAGCCATGCCTGAGTAATCTGTAATCATTATGCGTAATGCTCATTACTGTCACTTGCCAGATGGATCACTGGGATCTCAGCCTTCCTCTGTGAACTCAAAGATCAGAGGTGGAATTAATTTACTTGAAATTGTAATGGTTGCTCTTCCCCCTAGTTCCACACATGTTGCCCTGATTTATTCCCCAGTAAGGGCAAAATTCTGCCCTTGGCTATACCATAGCTCTGAGAACACTCATCTGAGAATTGCTCTCTTCTTCCTCTACTTTGAATCTGTCAGCCTGAAGTACAACTTGGGTTACTGCAGATGTCTTTTCTAACACAGAAGTGTTTTAATTTTATTTACTGAGTATTACAGAAAAAAACCCATGCAGCTATATCAGCATTTTAATGTCCCCAAAATCAGTTGATCCATGCACTGAATTATTAACATCATTATGGGAGAAGAAACACCAACACATTCAGTTGCTGAGAAGTGTGTCAATGCCTGGATGAGGAACAGCATTACCAGGCAGTAACAAGGCTCTGAAAGGCAACTGTCATAATCTGAGATGATTTCAGAGCAACTTTAAAATCCTGGAAATATCCACAGAAATGAAAGTGATCTTTATGAAGCTGGCAGATTACTCAGGGCAACAGTCTTAAAAATACACAATACATTGCTTAGGTTTTCCAGAATGCTTTTTTAAAAACTTGTGAAGCCATAGCACATTAGCATTTACCAGAGAAACAATATAATGTGCTTTTAGAATCTAAACCCTTTCTGCAGTGGAAATCAGTGTTTTCCTTGCAGTTTCTTCCACACTCACTGTCATGTCAGCACTGTGGATTTGTGCTGAGACCTTTCACTTCTTGTGAAATGAACTGTGCACAGTCTCAGTGGACTGTCTGATTCTGTCATTGTCTCTGCAGCAATGGATGAGTGCCAGGTTCCATATCTATGCTTAAATCTGCTCAGTGTCTTGCTGAAAAGGAGGTATCTGCACTTGGTGGTGAAACTGAACTATTTTTGGCTTCAAGAATTTAATTCTTTTTTGACGTGACTGCAATTTCCATTATTTTGTCTTCACTTTTCTAACCCGTTCTTGATTCTGTCAGCTTCCTGTTCACAACTGAAAATTGAATAAAACTGAAGATGGAACTTATGTATTCAAAGAGAATTCAAATAAATTAAAATTAGTGCTTACTTCCTTCTGGAATTTGACTAGACAACTAACAGGTCTATTGCTTTTACAAAGCAATGTTTATGGGAGTAAGTTTGAAAATTCATCATTCTGCAATCAAAAATGATAACAAGTACCAGAAACATTGTTCTTTAGAAGATTTTCATGCATACTGAATGTACAGATCATCTTAAAACTTAATGCGGAGCAGGTTAGTGATGCAGTTCCTGCATGTATTCCCAGCTTTAAACAAATGCTCCACATCTTTTTCTGTGACAGATGCCCAATCTGTACCCTACTTTTAACATACTGACATGTTTAACATCTCTCTTGTGTAATTTAAGCTATTGTTAAACTGATATTATTTGCTGACAAGCTTCTTGCATACAGGTTACTTGGAAAAATGTGTTACAATGAGGATATACTCTAGAAAGTGCTCTCACTGATGTGTGAAACTGGGCCCTCAGGCCACAGTGTTCAGACTGGATGCCTAAAATTAGGCAAATAAATTTCAAAAATGGGATTTTTAGAAAGACTGTGTGTAGTAATTTTGAACCATCTCATCTTCTGTATTTTGGGGGTCCCTGGCAAGGCCTTGATTCGCTTCCTTCCAGCAGCACAGAAACTCCTCTCCCCAGCCCCAGGCCCTCCTCCTCCTCCTCCCTCCTGGGAGATGCACTGCTGATACTAATGCAGGATGGTTGAAATAGAAAGGAACCCCTGGAAACCGTGTAGTTCTGCTCAAAGGAGAGTCAGCTACAGTGGGTTTCATACTCAGGGCTGCTTCCAGGTGGGTTTCATGTATTTTCAGGTGAGGACACTCCACAAAGTGTTCTAGTCTTTGACCACCTGCTGGCACTGGAGCAGAAAAGAAGGAACAATTGTTGCAGAACTGAGAGGCTGCTCCCTGTAGCTGCTCCTAGGGAGAAGGGCAGTACAGATTAATTTTATGGGCCACATCTGGCCCATGGACCACCACTGGATCAGTCTGGCTAATATTTGGCTAGTATTTTTCCTGGCAGTAAACTGGAAGAAAAACATATGTAGAAGATGAGGTGGCAGGAATCCTCAGGGATTTCTTCTTTCACATTAATTAAAAAAGCAGTGAAAATTTACAGAATTGAGTACGATTTTAATGGTTATGTAAGTTTCTTTTATTTTCCTTAAGATAAACTGCTATTTTAAGCTAGGCCAGGGCACGTTCAAGGTATGTGCTATTTGGTTTTTAAAAAGTTACAAAGATAAACTACTCAAATTATTTTGAAATAGGGTTAAAGTATGTATAAATGCTAACAAACATCCTCCTGGAGAGTATGAGCAAATGCCAGGGGCATACCTTCAAGGTCAGGTTTCAGTATCAGAGGAGCTCCTATCACAAAATTAAAACTTCATGAAAGAAAAGTTTGTAATGGGAAATGCTGGCATTGCTAATGCTTTCTTGCTAGAGCCCCAAAGAGCTTAGCTAGTGTACAGAGTTATGCATTCATGCACTAGTGACTAACTGATGACAAATGACAAGGAGTGATGGAGTTGTTGAATTCTACTGCTGTTCTAGCAGCCAAAATAAGAATTGCAAATAGTGACTACACAAGAATGAAATTCCTTGAAAAAATGTATGCTATAGAGTGTTATAGAAAACAGGTAGAAAACTGGGACACTGGAAATGATCTATTTCATGAAAAAGATACTTTGAAGATTTTGTTATAATGTCTACAGACCTGCATCTGTACATTATATCCAGTTAGCAACCACATGAAAACACCCTTTATCATCAATACATTTTCAAACGTGAAGTAATAAATCCTGAAAATATTCCTCCAAGGGTTAGTCCATAATTCTGTTTATGCTTCTTTTTAGAGACACCTAAACTGGACAGAGGTTAAGTAATTTACTGTATTTTGTAAACCATAGGTCATTTTGACCTCAGCTTTTTGTGCTTTGGGGAGTGCGAGAGGAATACTGATTTATACGACTTCTGGCAGGGCAGAGCTCTTTAATAATATGTTCTACATAACTTCTTAGTTGTGGATTAAAATGTAATTTTTCACATTGAATAGGACCTTTTTCCAGTATCACAGTTCTGCTGAAGTCAACAAGATTTTGTAAATCCTGGGCACTGGCAATAATCTGTTGTGAATAACAAAGGGCTGACATGCACAGCTCTTTCACCAACAATGTAATCATGAATTCAATTCCCCAGCTTTCCTCTTCAAGACAGATGAATCAAGCATTCAGAATTTAACTCTGAATCTGTTAAGTGCCAGTTCCACAGTGATGGAGAGACTTGCCCTGCTCCCAGTGAATGAAATTCTGCCGTCAAACTTTTGGCCGAGCTTGGTTTTTTGATTTTTTTAATCTATTCCCTTGTGGCAATACAATCTATGCACTGTATCCTCAATGGCCAGTGAAAGGACACCGAGAGTCAGTTAAAGCAGCTCTTAGGTTTGTTGCTACTTTCTTTCTAGCTACTTGTTCTTCTAAAATTAGGTGCTCTTTACAGCTGTTGCTTAAAATACTCTTTAGCAGCAAAATCTGATAGCATCATACCTAAGCGATGAAATCCGAAAGTGAACCTCTTTGTTGGAGATTTTGCAGACAGCCAGAGAGCGAGGAGGGTCAAAATAATACCACTAAGGTCAGTTAGCATGTGAAGTGCATCTGTCATAATTGCTAGGCTGTTAGCAACATAGCCACCTGAAAACATAATAGGAAAAGTCAGGACACATGACATTTTTAATTATTTCACATAATATCCTCTTTGCATAGCTTGCAGTTATTACTTTTCAGAATAGTGCAGTAAGTATATGGGAGCCCTTCTTTATACTTACTGAACATGGAGGGGGGTTTGCCATTACAAGCAAAATGCCATGCTATAATTTAAAGCTACCACAGTTAAAAGTGCAGTCAAGTGTACTTTCTATTAAAAATAACACAGAAAGGATTCACTCCTGTTATTCTAACAGAGACTACTTGCATCATAATGTTTGCAAGATCAGGTCCGAAACAATTTTGTATCTTTTCTCTACGTATTACTGCACATGTGTTTAATCAACTCATTCTTTTGTTAAACTACATCTGTTAAACACTCTGACATTATGGAACACGAACGGAACTCCAAAGATTTAATGACCAGGAAATTTACCCTGTCCCCTTTTTATTATGCTACTTATTATGCCATTATTTATTATTGTGCTATTATTTATTATGCTTTTGACCCTAATTATTCCCCATCCTGGCAGGAGTGTATATGTTTTGGCAATATCTATTGCAGACAATGACTTTCACTTGTGTAACATTTTTCTTTGTTATTTATTACCGTAACTTTTTCTTGTAATAATGAGCAGCATTAAGACAAATAACCTAAGATCAAAGGTTAATATCTTTGTTCCAATTCAATTGCTAGTGCTACTACTTGATGAGTGAGAGATTTAAACAATGCATCTCTCACTTAAGTATCCCTCATAGAAAGGGAAATCAAGGACAGGTTGTGTTGTCTTCCATATACTTGAAGGTAAGCCCATTATCTCAGAAAAGATCACATCTTCAGTATCAGCTCAGCTATGATTTGGTTTCTCTTTTTACCTTGAGATTGTCTTGCAGCCTGTAAATTGTACTGAGCAAAGCGTGCAGCTGGTGTGCCATTTGGCAGGCTTCAGGCTCCAACTAACATTTCAAATAAAGAAATCTTCGTATACAATTAAAATTGTCTTAGTGAAGAGGCTGACCAGAGGAAGTAGCAAAGAGGAATTCACAAATGGTTGACTGCTCTTAAGACTGGCCATAAAACCTGTGTGTGTGTGGCTATGGGTGTTCTTATGTACACACCTGCAGACAGAGCTACTCTCTCCTCCCCAGCCAAACACGGAGCACAGCTGTACTGCAGTACTGTTTGTGCTGCGGGCAACTACAAATGCACTACATTTCAAACAGCTCCTTTCCTCCTCTCTTCAATTGTTCAGAACTTTCTATGTAAAATTCTTCTGAGGCTGAAATTCTCCAAAAGGCCATCGCAGCTCAAAAACAATGAGTTTTTAAGATTTAGCAATTCAGCGACTTTTTGAATGCCTTTCCTTTCTGAATTAATTTGTGTTCTCCCATAATTTAAAAAAAAAATATTTAGAAAGTGTAACTCAGCCTCTTTTATAGTCAGCAGAAAAAAACCAATAATTTATATGTAAAGACATTTAGCTCAGCAGTTTACATATATCATTATTTCCAGTATATATGTTGATTCATATGTATTATTTTGAGAATCACTTCAGTCCAAGAAGAGTCAATTCCATTTCAGATAGCCTCTCATTTTTAAAGACTTTCAAAATAAAATTATAAGGAAGGAATTCAGATACTGAAGCTAAACATAATGCAGCATGTGGATTAAGAAAACATAATTGACATTTACGAAATCCTGAAATCAAAGGTTCTGTTTCTAAAGGTATTGGTTCATCACTTGGTTAAAGGTACTGCCTAGGGGCTGTTTAAATACAATTGGCAACTTGGAAAAAAAGACATCTATAACCTTTACAAATAGACAGCTTGATGGCTCACCACTGATTTCAGTGACCCATGAAGGACAGCAGTTCTGCTCATGGATGATCAATTAGAAATCTCTAAACATAGCTGAAAACATCAAAACCCTGTCAGAAAAGCTAACTAGGACTTGCAATATGTTTTTCATTTCTTGATGCACAGTGGTTTCCCCAAAGTGTAAATTGTTATCTGACTGCTCATCAAATTAAACAACAAACACTGAGAGGCTGGAGTAATGAGTTTGGAAAAAAATATGCCAATCAAGATTTCACCAAAAAAAACTGCTGTAACAAGATTTCCTTCATCTTGACATTGGTAAAAGACACCATAAAGATTTTTACTGAAAAAATTATCTGGTAGAGTTGTCTACCTTTTTCTCAGAAACTTAAATCTGTCAAAGATCATAGAAGGAAATCAGTTAAAAAATCCTATATGATCAGAATTTCCCAAATAACTGAGCTTCAGATCAATTCATAAAGTTTGGAAATTTGAAACCAACTAAAGACAACACAGTACAGGGCCGGAGTGAAATAAATTAAACAGGTGGGGCACTACCCAGGACTTGGGGGATAAATTTCTAATTACTCTTATGCTGATGGTTACTTGACCTGTAACAAGTCATTCAGGTTGAGAACAACAGAATTACAGAGATATCCAAACCCTCTATTTATTCTCTGTGGAAGATGAATGCCTGAATATTTGATGGGTCTGGCTCTCAGTGCTCTCTGATTCTGTACCCAAAGAACTAAGTATGTCTGGAAACAGCACACCCAGACCTGAGAAGGACAAGTCCCCAGTACAGCACAAACTCTGTACAGACAAATCCAGTCTGCTCAAGTCCTGACTCTATGGCAAGAACAACAGATGATGTGACACTGATCAGAGTATTTTTACCCTCAACATCTATTATTTCTAGAGCTCTTCCTGTGCTAGCTATGGAGAGGTCTCCAACAGCATGAATCAGATCTGAAGCCCCAAACAGAAACACTCCCAGTGACTTCAGCATCAACCTACCAACCAACAGCTCAGACATTATTCAGTAAGAGGCCCTTCAGATGAACTAAATTCAGTGTACATCAAAACTCTGATATGAATACAGTCAACTAACATCACTCTCATGTTAAAGGATATCTAAGCCTAAAATACAACACTACTGCTCATCAAATTTACCTAAGTTCATGCTGAACCAAAATCTCAGCCAGAGAAAAAACATGGAGCCAGGGGGCAAATGGAGGCATTCAGCCAAATCCCCACAAGAAGTTTGACACATAGGGCCTTAGCCATAATAAGCTGATGTGTTGTGGCAGTGTTATTAATGATCAGCCACACACTGAGACATGCTGAAAGGCAAAACCACTTTTTTCCATTAACCCACATTCCTGAAATAAGGCCCCAAATAAACTGGTGCAGACACAGTCAATAATCTGGTATCTCTCTGAAAAATGGAACATTTCTTCTAGGGTATTTTCCCACTACAGCTGTGGGACAAACTGCATTAGTTATCCTCTAGCAATTATTTTATTCCCTGTCCATCTTGCACAAGTTTGTCTTAAAAATACAATTCACAACTGTTCTAGCAAAAGCAAGAGCATGAGCTCACTTCATAGGAGTACTCAATTGATTCAATTTGCAGAAGTCAGGAGGAGGATGTGGGTCCCATGTTACTGTTCTTCCCTTCCAGAAAGTTTTTATGATTTTTTTTTGTATGTGTTTGAATTATGGCAAGTAATTAATCTGATTATCTCTGATTCAGAACTGAATGTTGAAATTTAAGAAATTTAAAAACAATTGCTATGGAGAGACCTAGCTCAACATACACATCAATGTACAGGCACGGTGTAGTGCTCCCAACAACTCCAAATCAGGACACAGTGGATGAGAGCATTAAAGCATTTTTCAGGAGGCTGAGTCACACCCAGCAGACACTTGCACTGCATGGCATGGATGTATCCAAAATATAGACAGTACGAGGACACAGTAAGTGAACAGAGATTAAAAGGTAAGCACTGAACTTCATAAAAATGATTAGACAATGGCAAAGGCATAACATTGAACAGCTAATCTATGCATCTATGCATCTCAGGGACACTCACATTTTATTTCAAGACTATGCTGCTACAGCCTATTTGATAAAGCACAGTTGTTCAGTACAGACTGGTGTATAATGCACAGGTCCTCCTCATCCTGCACAGCACAGCTGTTAGGAGGGAGCAACAAAAGCTGAACTTGAGCAATAGGTTCATTCTTCTGACCAACAATCAGGTGCTTATATAGGAACTCATTTTTGGGTAAAACCTCACTGTAATTCTGCAAGTACTAACAAACAAAAACCACAAATAATTCAATTCACCTACTTGGTATTCTTATACGTTGTAGTATTAAAGTAGTTGATATAAGTGTAGTGTTAAGTGTTAAAGTAACTATCACGTTAAATGACCATGCTCATATGATTTATGTCTGGATGGAGCAAATGCTAGTCCAGAGCACAGTAGGACATCAAGAAGTTCTCAGGGAAGTGATGTCTTCACTGGATTGCTGTTGATAGCTCAGGACTTCTCTTTTCACTTTTAAGTAATACTGTGTATTGTTGTATCTGGTGAAATACCCCCGCAGCATTACTTTCATTATTATGGTAAATGTCACTTTTGAAACTGTATCTTCTTCTTCTTCTCTTGTTGCAAACACAGCAAGATTTTATGGCCGTTGATTAAAAAATACTGCGATTGAAATTGTTTATGCCACTTCTCCTTCGTTAAAAACACCTTAAAACTTACAAGGAGAAATAAAAAAATCCATTAGACAAAGAAAAATTTGTATATTTTACGCCATTTCAGGAAATCGGTGAGACATTCGGGTAAGGGAAGTTGCAAATTCTTGCACAGAAAATACAGGTGGACTGTATTCCCTCTCACTCTCTGCACGTGCAGCTCATCTCTCTGGTCTCTCTATGGGACTGATGGTTTCTGTCAGTAAATACTCAAAGCCAAGGCCACAGCAACCTAACAAGGTGTGAGGCACCATGCCGGAGGGACGGCACAGAAGGCCCTCGACTCACCTATGAGCTCCCCCGTCATGAAGAGGAGGTACAGGAGGGCAGCGAGCGTCAGCCGCTTCTTCACCTTCCTCTGCTTGGAGCGCTCCCGCCGGCTGCTGCAGCCGCTGCAGGGGTCCGGCCGGCCGGCCCGGGCGCTGCGCAGGGCGATGTCCCGGTCCAGCAGGGACTCGTCGTCGGACGGCAGCCCCGGGGACGCTCCGTTCGCCGGTGTCTCCGGGGCCGCCTCCGAGCCATCGTCCGCCACCACCACGCGCAGTTTGTTAAACCTGGGGAAGTCGTCGTCCCCCACCTCGTCCGAGAAGTCAAAGGCACTGGAGTCGTTCAGGAACAGAGGGTCCTCGCTCCTCCCTAGCAGGGACTTGATGCTCGTCCAGAGCCCGGCCCCAGCCATAGCGGCGGCGCTCGGGGGCCTGGCCGGGCGCGGCCGACCCGCCACGGGTGGCTCCGCTGGCGCAGCTGTGCCCTCGCAGGCGGCGCCCCGACCGCTCGTCGACCCGTCAGGGCATGTCCCCTACATCGCCCCGCCGGGCCCCGCGCAGGCCGGACGGAACGCGGCGCGGGGCTCAGCCGCGGAGCGCCCCGGCACCGCCGGCCCACAGCGCCGCCTCCGCGCCGGGCACCGCGCCACGAGGCGCTGCCACCGCCGGAGCCCCGGTCACCCCGCGCAGCGCTCAGCCGGCGCAGCCCCGGTCACGCCGCGGCCGGGCAGGCGGCGCCCGGCTCGGGGCCGCCTCCCTGCCGGCGCAGGGGGAGCGCCGCCGCCGCCGTGCGCGTCACATCCCTCCGCTCCGCGCAGCGCCGCGGGCGGGCAACGCGCCCCCTCGCAATCCCTGCACGCTCCCGGGGCCGCCCCGCGCGCGGCGGCCGCAGCAGTTGGTGGGAATCGTGTCCCCTGCGCGCCCGCGGACCCCGCCCGCACTGCGCCTGCGCCGCCCTCGCCGGATGGCCACGGGTTCGAGTCCCGCTGCTGCCGCCTCGCCGCGGCCGCGCTGCCGGCGGAGCGGGGGGACCGTGCTGCGGGGCTCGGGGAGCGGAGGGGCCCGTCCGGTGCGACGGCGACACCTGCGTGCCCCTCGGGGTGGCCTGAGGGGCTGTTCCCGCCCCTCCGTGCGCTTGTGTTCAGTGCGTAAATGCCGTGCGAGGTAGAGGCTAAGAACTGCCAAAGCCATACCGTGCAGGTATGGTGGTCCGTGATAGCCAGGAAGCTGTGTTCACTACGCTGGAAGCCTGAACTGCATAGTTCCGTGCTCTGGCTTCAGATTTTGAAAGGCATAAGTTTGTATTAGTTGCTTTTCTCTTTCTCTTCAGTCACAGCACAGCTCTTTGCATTGTTTCCATAACTCAGTTAAGGTAGAGTTGTAGGAATCATATGCCTTTCTGAGCATTCCTTAAAGGATGTAAGGAGAAACAAATCCCAGAGACCCTGTTGTTATATAATTCCTTTCATAACTCTGCTCTAACATAAGAGTAATTAGATTTTTGCCTTTATTAGTTTTTCTGAGAGGCTCCTCATTGGTCAGAGTGCTAGAAATTTTCTTCTGAGTTTCAGCCTATACGTGTTCCACATCAGTTTGTACCTATGGCCAAATGCTATTGCTGTATTCAGTCAGTTCGCTAAGCCATAAACATTTCTGGGAAATCATGCCCATCAGAGAGAAGGTACATATCTTGTTTTTTCACTTGGTTGAAGGAAGTTACCAAGAGAGGACTGGAGAGCTGTAATAGAAGTGCAGGATTTTGGAGAAGGGAACTCCTTTTCTGGTCAAAGGCTGATAGCAGATTCTGGTAGGTATCAGGGAAGTGCTGCAGGACAAGGAGCGAGCTCCTTCTTGGAACTGGCCCCATGGGAGTGGAGTCCTCTGTGGTAAACTGGCCTTGGGTGGAGGTTGCTTATTGTTTTTCTCTTAATGATGTCCAAAAATAGACAGTATGATGCTTTATCTCAGCTCCCTTGCCACTTTACAACGTGGCTGCTTTCCTGAGCATGTAATCTCAGGTTATTTTTCTTCAAATGATGCTTTTCTTAAAGTGGTGCCATCTCCTTTAACCCACTTCATAATTCCCCTGGCATTGTTACCAGCACAATTGTTCAGGGGCCAACCAAGGAACTGAATCCTTGAACTGGGTCAGAATTAAACGATGCATATTGGGAGGGTTTTGGATATTTGTATGTGTAACTGAGACTGCTTCCATGATCTCAACTCACGCAGGCATCCATATGACAACGAGGGGGCAGCAAACTGTGTGGGAGTCAGAATGAGCAGCCAAGGATGGGAACCAGTTAAACCAGCCTTGCTGCCTAGGAAAGTGCTCCCAGATGTGTTCCAGTTCACCCATTTTTATGTTGCTCTTCTCTCTGGGTGATTGAACTCACTCTGTGTTTTGGCAGTTGTACCAGCACAAGTGAGGGTGGACACACAGACATGAGCAGCCAGGTTCCAGGAACCACCAAAGGAACTGCTTTTAAAATTGTCTTCAAATTCGGCTTTACACTGGAACTTTGCCACTTCTACAGGAACAGAAACTTCCAGCAGTGAGGAGGGGTACTTAGCTAGGGGGACTAACACACTAAATCAGTGCACCAAGGTTTGCCAGCTCACCTTTTACTGAATAACTAAGATCAGAAGTGTTGTCAAATCAAGAACCAGTTGATACATTGGTAAGATGATCCTCTGCTGAACAGAACAGTTTGTATCAGCCTGCTACACTCAATTTCTTCATTGTAACAGCCAAGGCTCTACTCTTTCTGTAGTCTCATTTACTTAATGAGGACAGAGAGTCTCTAAGAGGTTACCTATTAATGTGAAGTATTTCCTTTTCATGTTGTCATCCCTGAAGTCATGTGGCACCTCCAAAGCTGATGGTTTAAAACATCTATTTGCTATACAATTCAAGTTAACTCCATTTTCACTCACATTTCTGGGGGGGTCATGGTTACAATATATGTAACTGCTTAAATCAGTTCCAACAATAAAATCCAAAATACCTGTGTGACAGTGCTGCATTAAAGGTTTCTGAACACAGCTGCTACACAATAAAATTAAAATGAAACAGGTTTATGTGGTGTTAACAGTATTGCATACATAGGCACTTTGGAAATAGTTACTGTGAAACAGAGGAGATTTTGCAGAAGAAAAGGAACAAGAAAAGTTTTCTATCATTCTCTTTTTTTGGAACATTTGGGTTGACAAATAGTTAAACTTTAATTTGTCTAGAAAACCAGATACCAGTTTTCTATTCCAATCCTTAGTCTATTTCTGCAAGACGTGGGAAGGCCTGGAACAGGCAAAGCAGGAGCACGGAACACAAATCTGAAACTCCCACATCTCAAGCAAGATTATTTCAGAGTCATTATCTCACTTGCTCTTACTAGAAATTCCATCTGGAAACTCAGAAGTCTTTCCCAGTGAAACTTTCAACAAAAGTTGTGGGTTTCATCCCCTGCCAAAAGAAACTTTTAAGTAAAATTGCTAACTAGTTGGAATTCAGAATTTGAGTTGAGTCTGTTCAAGTTACTTAACAACTTACTCTTGTTGCTTCTTTTTTAAAAAAAAAAGCAGAAAAATGGGTTAGTTTTTAGTCTGATGATGGAATAGTGATATAATTGTGAGCAAAAGTTAATTAGAATATGCATATGAAGAAAAATGAAAATGAAATTTCAACAACATTGCTGTTAGAAATGTTAGTTTTAAGGTTGACACATCAACTCAAAAGCCCCTTTTTTTGCCTCACTCTGTTTCTGAGGAGCATTAGGGAGACTGCCTGGATTTATTTTAATTTTCAAGGTTTGGGGGTATATCAAAATACTGCATTAACAAAAAACTTTCTGAGTGGTCCTTCATTAGTTTCTTTCTATAGTTGCACCTGCATTTCCTGAAAAGACCTTTATAAGTCTTTATAAGCAAAAGAGGAAAAAAAAATAGAAATCCTACAATACCATATAAAAATGATTTTTCATTAAAGAATATATATACTTGCAAGTTGGTTAGAGCAAGGTGCTGATAACACCAAGGTGGCACTCTGATCCCTGCATGGGCCACTCAAGAGCTGGACTTAATGATCCCTCTGGATCCCTTCCAACTCAGAATATTCTACGATTCTGTGTGAAGTTATTACTGCTCTTGCAGACTGTTAGAGGAGATGCAGAGACAGACGCATACACAAAAGCGAATTATTAATTTCCCCAGAAACAAAAGCTACAAGTAGTGTAAAGTCTGCACGGTTTCTGGAGAATACAAATCTATAAAACACAAGAACAAGGATGTCCCCAAGAAAGGGCACCTGCGGTGATTTCAGTTGTTTTCTGCCGTGGCAGGAGAGCTCCCTGGGCTGCGCTGCTCCGGCCCGGCAGCCGCTGTGCCCCGGCACGCTGGGACGGTGCCACCGCTCCTCAGCTCTGTCAGGCCCGTGTCCAAGCGGGGTCTCCGCGGGTCTGCAACCCGCACACATGGAGGCTCAACGCCGGCCCCAGCGGCTTCCGAACGCTCCGGGGAGCGGCGGGAAGGAGCTCCCGACGCTGACACCGGCCCCGCCCCGGCGGCCGCGGCCCGGCCGTCGCTCTCCTCATTAACGCCACCATCGTCGCTCGCGCGTCACTTCCGCGCCCGGCCCAGTCCCGGCGCGCGGCGGCGGCTCTATGGTGCGGCGGCGGCGGGGCGCGGGCCGGGGGGCGCCGGGCCGGCCCGCTCTGTGAGGGCAGCCGGACCCGCCTGCCGCGGGCTCGGGCTGCCCTGCCCTGCCCTGCCCTGCCCTGCCCTGCCCTGCCCTGCCCTGCCCTGCCCTGCCGGAGGGAGCCGGGAGCGGCAGCAATGAGCGGCGCGGAGCGACCGGAGGGAAAGGAGGCGGCGCCCGCGGGTGACCCCGGGCACTCGCTGGGTACGTGCGGGGAGAGCCGAGACCCCGGGCCGGGCGGGACGCGGGTGCGGCGCGAGCCGAGGAGAGGCTGGAGCCGCTGCCGGGTCCCGTAGAGGCCGGAGGAGGGCGCTCCGCCACCCCCAGTGCTAGGGCCGGGCTCCCTCCGAGACCAAGGGCTGCCTCTCGCATCGTTCTCCCCCGTGCGGGGGCCTGTAGATGAAAGGGTTTTGTCTTCCTCGAGCGCTGCAGACAAAAAATAGTCATAGCGTGCCCATACGAAACGTACAGGAGTTCAGCGGGAAGTCTTGGTGTTTTGAGTGACAGGCGAAGACCTTTCATAGCCTAGCTTGTTCTCAGACTTTGAAAGCAAAGGTTGGGGGCTGTTAATGTTCAGGTACTCTTGATACATATTCAGAACACTGATGTTGCCCATTCTTTTCTTCAGTAGACTGGAGTACTCGATTTTTCATTTTTTTTTAAGATATCTATGGAGCAGTTATATTTCCCACTTTCTATACTGCTGCTGTTCACATAAAAGGGTTTACCAGGAAGCTTGTGATACACAACTGAGAATAAGGGAAAAATAAAGAATATGAAAGTCCAGTTTAGCAGAAAAAGTGCAGAGAATTTTAATGTGTTTTAATGCTTTTAATTTTTGGAAAGGAAAATATGGTTGCTCCAGGTGAAACTTGAAGGGAATGCTGACCTCTCACATTCTGCCTTGCTGTTCTTTGGTGTAGGTCCCAGTGATGCATCTCCAGATGAAGGAGTCGTAGAAGATCTGC